AAATCGAACTTTAGAAGAAATGGCTAGAACCATGCTTTCTGAAAATAATTTGCCAAAATATTTTGGGCGGAAGCCACAAATACCGCTTGTTATGTTGTAAATCGAGTAATGATTAGGCCAATTTTAAAGAAAACTCCATATGAAATTCTCAAAAATAAAAAGCCTAACATTAGTTATTTTCATCCTTTTGGATGTAAATGTTTTGTTTTAAACAACGGTAAAGAAAATCTTGGCAAATTTGATGCTAAAAGTGATGAAGGAATTTTTCTGGGTTATTCCTTAAATTCTAAAGCTTATCGTGTATTTAATAAAAACTTTAGTTGTAGAAGAGTCTATACATGTTGTTTTCGATGATAATCCCCTTCCAAGGAAGGATTCTTCTGTTAATGATGATGTAGGTATTGTACAAGCAAATGACGTTAGACATGACGTTGGAGAATCATCATCAAAGGAAAAAACAAAAGATGAAGAACTCATGATCCCCTCGAGAATCCAACCATTGAAGAAAGGGAAGTATCTTTTCCAAGAGAGTACAACTATGTCAAGGATGGTGAAATATAGGTGATCCATCAAAAGGGGTAACTACTCGATCTTCTCTTAGAAATATCTGTAATTATGTTGCATTTATTTCATGCATAGAGCCTAAGAACATCAAAGAAGCATTAAAAGATGAACATTGGATTATGGCTATGCAAGAAGAATTAAATCAATTTGAGAGAAGTAAAGTATGGACATTAGTTGAAAGGCCTAGTAATAAATCTACTGTAGGTACTAGATGGGTTTTTAGAAATAAACTTGATGAAAGTGGTAATATAGTGAGGAACAAGGCTAGACTTGTTGCTCAAGGCTATACTCAAGAAGAAGGCATAGACTATGATGAAATACGCTCCCGTAGCTAGGATGGAAGCAATTAGAATGTTATTGGCATTTGCATGTTTCAATGAATTTAAATTATATCAAATGGATGTTAAAAGTGCATTTTAAATGATTTTATAAAGAAGAAGTGTACGTGGAACAACCTCAGGTTTTGAAGATTCAAATTTTCCGGATCATGTTTTAAAATTGACAAAAGCTCTTTATGGTTTAAAACAAGCTCCTAGAGCTTGGTATGAAAGATTGTCAAATTTTTTAATTGAAAAAGATTTTTTAAAAGGAAAGGTTGACACTACATTGTTTTTAAAGAGAAAAGGTAAAGATTTATTAGTAGTTCAAATTTATGTTGATGATATAATATTTGGTTCTACTAATGATGTTCTTTGCCAAGAATTTTCTAAGCTAATGCAAAGTGAGTTTGAGATGAGCATGATGGGAGAGCTCTCATTTTTCTTGGGACTCCAAATCAAGCAAAGAAAAGATGGCATCTTCATTAATCAAGCTAAGTACGTCAAAGATATGCTCAAGAAGTTTGGTCTGGAAAATGGGAAACCTCACAACACTCCAATGAGCTCTTCAACAAAGCTGACTTAGATGAAGGAGGTAAATGTGTAGATGATAAATTATATAGGTCAATGATTGGCTCTTTGCTTTATCTAACTGCAAGTAGACCGGACATTATGTTTAGTGTTTGCTTATGTGCTAGATTTCAATCATATCCTAAGGAATCACATTTACTAGCTGTTAAGAGAATCTTTAGATACCTTAAGGACACTCCTAGTTTAGGACTTTGGTATCCTAGAGACTCTAGCTTTAGCTTGCATGCCTTTTCTGATGCGGATTATGGAGGATGCAAATTAGATAGGAAAAGCACCTCCGGTACTTGTCAATTCCTTGGAAATATGTTGATTTCTTGGTTTTCAAAGAAACAAAATTGTGTTGCATTATCTACCACTGAAGCGGAATACATTTCAGCCGGTAGTTGCTGTGCACAAGTTTTATGGATGAAACAACAACTTTTTGATTATGGAATTGAAGTAGGTACCATTCCTATCAAGTGTGACAATACTAGTGCTATTTGTCTCACTAAAAATCCCATCCAACACTCTAGAACTAAGCACATTGACATAAGACATCACTTCATTAGAGACCATGTCACTAAGGAAGATGTAGTTCTAGAATTTGTTGATACTTTGCACCAATTAGCGGATATCTTTACAAAACCCTTAGACAAGGAAAGATTTTGGACACTTAGGAGAGAATTAGGTTTGACCAACCTATCTTCACTTAGTGTTTAAAATAATTTTAGCACTTTTAATAAATCTTGAAAAATGCTTATAATAATTTTTGATTGCATTCTTGCTATTAGTTAGGGGGAGTTTGTGATTCTTAGTGAAAATTATGTTCAAAAATCGATTAAAGATTAATTTAATTGTTTGAACATAATTAATTTTTGATATATGAGTTGCCAATACCACTAGAAAAGATTAATTTAGCATTTTGTGCTTAAAAATCGGATTTTAGCATTTTGGTGCAGAGGGAATCGATCCCCCCATGAGGGGAACCGATTCCCCCCACAGGGGAATCGATACCCCCCTGGGGTTCTGTTAAAATCGGGCAGAACACCCAAAACCCCCAAATTTTCAAAACCCTCTCTTCCGCCGTTCCCTCTCAACTCCTCTCAAATCTCCTTTCTTGCCTCAAATCAACGATATTAATCGGAATTCGAATCAAATATCATCTTCTAAACCTGTTGGAATCATTAAAATCGTGCAAACAACATCTAAATCCCCTCAATCTTCATCTTTCAAGGTAATTTTTCTAAACTCTCTATTTTATTATTTTTGAACATAGGATTAGTTTTAATTAGTTCTAGGTTGAAATAGTGATCGGACATTGATTGTTTAGTGAATAGAAACTAGATGTTACAACTAATTTCATCAAAAACACAAGAATTTTCAAAAAAAAAATTCGAAATTAAAAAAAAATTGTTTTTAAATTATTGTGTTTTGATTAAATTATGTTGTTATTATGAAAACTATACATATATTGTTTCTCAAAACCATATTTTTCAAAAGTTTCTCAAAAGCTTTACCCATTAGGATTGATTTAGAGAACCTTGAAATATTGAGGACTCAATTGAGTTTTTGGGATTAATTGAATTGCATACATTTGTTTTAAAATTGCAGGTTATTCTATCTATTCCGATTTCCTTCACCATGTCAAATCCTAAACGTCCTAGGTCTTCATCTAGTCGTTCTAGTCGTCAACCAAATCCTCCTCTTATTCCTCAAAATCCTATTCCAAATCTTGATCCTAACTTGACTATCCAAAATTCTTGTTTCAATCAACCGGGTCCTAAAGATTATCGTTATTGGTTTTACCAATATTTTGACTCATATAAGATTAGGGAAGAACGTATCCCATCTCTTCAAACTATGGTTGATATTAACTTTAAATATCTCCCTATCTTGCACGAATGGAAATTTGATAAACTTTTCGAACTTGAACCCATTGTCTATCATCAACTTGTTCGTATCTTCTACTGTAATGCCGTTTGTATCAAAAATCGTGACAAAACCAAAACCATAGGAGTGCGTTCCTACCTCCTAGGTCAATATTTCCATCTTGATCCGGATTACATAGCCAATGCCTTAGGCTTGGACAATGAAGGATTATCAAACGAAAAACAAGTTTTAGGCTCACGATATAAACGGAATGATAGTGCAAGTGTTTTAGATCTCCATGAGCGTTTTCTTCATCTTATGATCACTTAGTGGTTTCGACCATCCGGGGGCCGTTATTTTACTCTTAGAGCTTTAGACCTTTGGTGGTTGCATTGTTTTGAAAACAATATAAAAATAAACCTTTCCGAGATTATCTTTGCTGAGATCGTTGAAACCGTTAACTTAGTGCCAAATAAGAAACTCTGTTCTTTACTAGTTTACGGTTGTATCCTTAGTAATCTCTTTTCTAAAGCCGAACTCCGAGTTGGTCTAGATGCCTCATTTCCTCTTAAGAAACAAATCAATCTTCTTTCTTTACCAAGAGCGGGATGGGTCAAAATAGGAAACCGGTGCATGGGTTCGATCTTCTACTCCGGGAGCTAGTTCTTCACAAGCTCCACCCGAAGCTGACGAAGATCCCGAGTTTGAACAATTAATGAGGGATATCGATGAAGCTGAAGATGAGCCTGAACAACCCGAGGAGCACGCACAACAGTCGACTCAAATGCCTCCATATTTTCAATCCTTTATGGAGACATTTGATTTTCGATATGCGACCATGGACTCGCGTTTTACCTCTATAGAGTCTCATTATCCACAATGGGAGCTCAACAATTAGAGATTCTTCGGGAGATGCGTGCAAACAATGAATCAACCAATGCTCGTATCAATGAACTCACACACGAGATGGCCGCTATGCGAGCCCGTTTTTCTCCTACCGATCCGAATGTTTGATTATGTGTTTAGTTTTAAGACTTTGAACTAAAAGAATATTGTTTCAACATTTTTGATATTTTGGATTGTTTGATTTTGTGGATTGTTGGATTTTGGATTTATGAATAGTGTGAACTTATATGTTTTATTCATTTTGCATCATCATTAGCAATATGACCAATTTTGCCATATCACATTATTTATGAATATTGATTTATGAAACTAATGGCTAACCTCTCTTTTGATTGTGATCTTAGCAGCTTAAGCTTATAATTAATAAATCAATTGGCTAAATGATTTCAAAACCTTGTTTTACAATGTCTTTTTGATTTAACAAAAAGGGGGAGAAGAATAGGTGTTAAATGTTTTACATAATAAATTGAAGGTGTTAAATGTTTACATAATATTGAAGAAGTGTTAAAGTAAGTGGGAGTAATTTCAAACTTGATTTCAAAAATCTTAAAATTACTAAAATGTTTTGTTATATCAAAAAGGGGGAGATTGTTGAAACATTTTGATATTTCGATATAACAAATTAAGTTAAATGGATTTTAAGATTTTCCAAATGATTTTCTAAGTATATTCGATAACTATTCGAATATCAAAACATTACTCCAAATATTTCAAAAATCATTTTTAATCCTTACTTAAGTGTAAAATTAGTTTTAATCATAAAATAATTTCAAAATAATTTTACAAAGTATTCGAACCAATTCAAAGCCAAAAATTACAGATTGCTCAGGGAACCGATTCCCCCCCATAGGAGGAACCGATTCCCCCTAAATGGTTTTGGCCCCGAGATTTCCAGAATGCTCGGAGGGAACCGATTCCCCCCATAGGAGGAACCGATTCCCCCTAAACAGTTTTGCTCCGAGAATTCCAGTATGCTCGGAGGGAACCGATCCCCCCCAAGGGGGTACCGATTCCCCCCTTGTACAACGGTCGAAATATTTGAATTTTACACTTAGGAACCGATTCCCTTCAAGGGGGAACCGATTCCCCCCACGCTCCAAGCTGTTTTATTAAATGTTTTCACATTAAAACGGCTATAATATCTTCTCTAATCATCCCCAACGTTCAGAAGTGATCCAAGGTGTATTTAAGCAAGCTTAGAAGTCATTGATCAAAAACAAGAAACATCAAGCAACTAGAATCAAGAGAGAGTCAAAGAGAAAGCATCAAACCTCAAGTTTGAGCATTTCAAAGCCTATTTTCATTCAATATTCATTTTGCTTTCAAGAACACTTTTTGTGCTCAATTGTATTCATCTTTGAGTGTTATTTTCTTTGTTCTAGAATTGTGCAAATATCTTACCTTGTGAGGTTTTCTTGTAAGTTTGCAAATTTGTAATCTTCTCTTTGGGAAAAAGAGTGTTCTCAAGAGTTGGGGTATACTCTTGAGGGAATTGTAAGGTTATCTCTTTGGCCTCAAAAGAAAGAACAAATTAGTGAATTTGTTGAAAAATCCTTAGTGTGGATAGCTAAGGTAGTGGACATAGACTTTATTTGAGAAAGTCGAACCACTGTAAATCGCTGTGCAATTACTTTCAAATTTCTGCAAAAGCTTCCACAAAAATTTTAATTGCCAATTCACCCCCCTCTTGGCCGATTCCGTCAATCGATTAACTCAACAGGAACCATACGATTATGCTTGGCAGACGAGGTCATGTATCACGCCATGCATCTATCGTCTCCAGACGAAATTTGGAGGAAGTTGGAAAGTCAATTTATGTCCAAATCCTTAACGACAAAACTGTATCTGAAGCAGCGGCTGTATGGGCTGAAGATGCAGGACGATCACGATTTGGCGCAACACGTGAATGTCTTCAATCAAATCGTTTCTGATCTGGCTCGGCTTGATGTGAAAATTGAGGATGAAGATAGAGTGATGATTCTGTTGTGTTCGTTGCCTCCCTCTTACGAACACATGGTGACTACTCTTACATATGGGGAAAGAGACTATCAACGTTGAGGAGATTACTGCAGCCTTGTTGGCTCACAACCAACGGAAGCAGAATGCAGGGGAAAGCTCTCAAGCCGATAGCTTATATGTCAAGGGTAATCAAGATCGTGGATGGAAGCCAGAGAAGGCAGGGTCCGGGAAGCGAAAATCCAGATCCAAATCCAGGGATAAGAAGACGATTCACTGTTACAAGTGCAAGGAGGTGAGACATATGAAGCGAGACTGTCCGAAGTTGAAAAAGCAGACTGATGAGAAGCGTGATGGCTCATCCAAGTCTGTGAACGTGGTCGAGGATGATAATTCTGATTGCAGTGAGGGTGATATGCTTTCTATTTCAACGACACAATTGACGGATGCTTGGATTCTTGACTCTGGATGTTCTTATCACATCACGCCAAATAGGGAATGGTTTTCGACATACAGGCCGATTAATTCTGGTTCGGTTTATTTGGGTGATGATCGATGCTGCAATATTGTTGGTATTGGTGATGTCAGAATTAAGATGCACGATGGCTCCGTTCGGACGTTGAGTGGTGTTCGACATATCCCAGACTTAAAGAAGAATTTGATTTCCTTGGACACTTTGCACAAGAATGGTTTTATCCCTAAGGCTGACGAGGATAGGGAAACCATTCGGATTGTTAAAGGAGCATTGACTGTGATGAAAGGCAAGATGACTGCAGGGAATATCTACATATTGTTAGGGAGTACCGTTGCAGGTGAAGTTCACTCTGTTGAGTCCTGTGATGATACGGCAAAATTGTGGCATATGCGCCTTGCTCATCTTAGTAAACGTGGTATGGCAGAATTACACAAGAGAAACTTGTAGCTCGATTTTTGCAAGTATTGTGTTCTTGGTAAACAGACTAAAGTCCGTTTCAAGACTGCGAAGCACACAACTCAAGGGATTCTTGATTATGTGCATTCTGATGTATGGGGGCCTTCCACGACATCGTCTTTGGTGGATCTAGGTACTATGTTACTTTTATTGATGATTTTTCACGGAAAGTTTGGGTGTATTTTTTGAAACAGAAATCTGAAGTTTTTGAGAAGTTCAAGCTGCGGAAAGCTGAGGTAGAAAACCAAACAGGACGAAAAATCAAGTGTTTGCGGTCTGACAATGGTACGGAGTACACAGATTCACAGTTCCTATAATTCTGTAAGGAGCATGGGATTCAGAGGCATTTTACAGTGCGCAAGACACCACAAGAGAATGGTGTTACGGAACGAATGAACAGGTCGTTGAATGAAAGAGCCAGATGTTTGCGATTGAATGCGGGGCTTCCCAAACACTTCTGGGCTGAGGCTATTAACATGGCGTGTTACCTTATCAACAGATCGCCAAGGGCATCGCTGGCTGGGAAAGTTGCAGAAGAGGTATGGACTGGTCATGATATTAGTTTTGATAACTTACGGATTTTTGGTTGTCCTGCTTATGTGCATGTACCTGCTGATGAGAGATCCAAACTTGATGCAAAATCGAAGGAGTACATTTTTCTGGGTTACAAGAAATGTGTCAAAGGATTCAAGTTCTGGGATCCAGTTGCGAAGAAAGTTGTGATTAGTAGAGATGTCGTTTTTGATGAACAGTCCATGTTGCAGCAGAAGCAAGACACGACAGTGGTGGATTTCGAGCAGTTTCCAGTTGAGAAACCAGAAACTTCTCAACCGACTTCTGGTGGTTCCACTACGGATGATTTGCAGGATTATAGTCTCGCCAGAGACAGGGTGAGACGGACGAATATAAAGCCTCCGAACAGATTGAGTTTGGAAGACTTGGTATCTTTTACACTTATTGTTAGCAGTGATGATCTGGTTACTTTTCATGATGACGTTACTAGTCAGGAAAACGACAAGTGGATGACAGCCATGGTTGAGGAGATGGAGTCTTTGAATCACAATCGCACATGGGAGTTAGTTCCCCTTCCTGAGGGTAAGAAGCCGATTGGTTGCAAATGGGTGTATAAGAAACCAGCAGTAACAAAAAAGAGGGGGAGAAGCTCAAGGCTCGTTTGGTAGCGAAGGGTTTTTCACAGCAGAAAGGAGTTGATTATGATGAAATCTTTTCTCCTGTGGTCAGGCACACTTCAATCCGAGCAGTACTTGCATTGGTGGCTAGTTGGGATTTGCATTTAGAGCATATGGATGTTAAAACTGCTTTTTTGCATGGTGATTTAGAGGAGCAGATCTACATGCGGCAACCTGAAGGTTTCACTCAACCTGGAAACGAGCATTTAGTTTGCAGATTGAAGAAATCTTTGTACGGGTTGAAATAGTCTCCGAGACAGTGGTATAAACGGTTCGACTCCTATATGATCAAGATTGGCTACAACCGATGTGAGTATGATTGTTATGTCTATGTTAAGAGCCTTGATGATGGTTCTTTTATTTTTTTTATTACTGTATGTTGATGATATGTTGATTGCTGCGAAGAACATGGATGATGTTATCGGTTTGAAAACTTTATTGAGTCAGGAATTTGATATGAAAGATTTAGGTGCTGTAAAGAAAATTCTTGGAATGGAAATTTGCAGGGACAGAGACTCAAGGAAACTGCGGCTATCTCAACGGGGTTATGTTGAGAAAATGCTAGAAAGGTTTGCGATGAGCAGCGCGAAACCAGTTAGCACTCCATTGGCGAATCACTTTAAGCTCTCATCAGAACAGTGCCCTAAGACAGATAAGGAAGCTGAAGATATGGCAAAGGTTCCGTATTCTAATGCTGTTGGCTGCTTGATGTATGCGATGGTATGTACTCGTCCTGATTTAGCTCATGCTGTTAGTCAAGTTTGTAAGTACATGTCTAAACCTGGTAAGCAACATTGGGAAGCAGTCAAGTGGATCTTTCGGTACTTAAAGGGTATTGTGGGACATGGAATTGTTTTTGGGAGTCAGCGGGATAATCCTTTGGTTGTAGGATATGTGGATTCAGACTATGCAGGTGACTTGGATAATAGAAGATCTACGACAGGGTATGTCTTTACTCTTGGTGGAGGGCCTATTTGTTGGAAGTCTATTGTTCAATCTGTTGTGGCTCTATCTACAACTGAAACTGAGTACATGGCAGCGGCTGAAGCTGCAAAATAAGCTTTATGGCTTACTGGTTTAGTGAAGGAGTTGGGTGTTCAACAAGGTGGAGTTCAGTTGCTTTGTGATAATCAAAGTGCTATTCACTTGGCTAAGAATCAGGTGTATCGTGCTAGAACTAAACATATTGATGTAAGGTTCCACAAGATCAGAGAGTTGGTTGCATCTGGAGAGGTTTTGTTTCAGAAGGTACATACTGATGAGAATGCCGCAGATATGTTCACCAAGCCAGTTACGACAGACAAGTTCAAGTATTGCTTGGACTTGTTGAATGTTTCGAGTTGTTAAAGAAGCAAGGTAACCCAACCCACATTGAAGTTTCCAAGGGGCAGAATATTCGCCAAGATGGAGATTTGTTAGGTATGACTCATAAATATACCAGTAAAGTACAAAGAAAGTCTCGTTGTGGGGTTACGAATTATGTGGGTTGGGGGTGCGGGGCGCAGTCCCGCGGTACGGTACAGGGTTGATTTTATAATTATGTACCAGTATTTTCTATTATAAATAGAGATGTAACCTAGACCTAAAATATCATTGAATAAAACTTCTAGCGCCACCTAAACACCGATGACGTAAGCACATTGCCGAACCTCGTAAAATTCTCGTGTTCTTTTGTTTTCTTTACCCGTTTTCGTCAATATTTCGTGTGACATTCTCATCGGTCGACTGTGTGCCGTAACTGGTGTATGGTGTTATACTCCAACTTAGAAAAAAAATTTAATGTGGCCCTTTGAGCTACGTTTTTCGATGTTTGACTATTATAGTACTGATGTGACGGTTTACGGTACTGACTTAACAGTCCATCTATCATGATTGAGTTATCAATTTAGTCGATCTGTCATGTTATCAGTCACATTATCAACCACCATGTATTGCCAAGTCAACATCGTGAACTGTCATGTTAGCACCAAAAATTATCACGTCAATACCTTAATGATCAATGATAAAAAATACTGTTCAAAGAGTCACATTGAGCTTATTTTGTGAGTTTAAAGGGCTACATTAAGAGACTTTTTTATCTTTATTTATTCTAAAGACGCTCATATATATATATATATATAATTACAAATAATATTTATCTGAAAAATCATTTATTTTAATCTTATTTGAAATTTAAATAACATTTAATATATTATATAATAATGAAATGTGCTGTTCGAATGGTTTTGGATTTCATTTATTATATCCAATAAAAAATGTGAATAAAAAGCATCCAAAATTTTAAATAGTGATTCGATCAGTCCTGACCACAAAGGTTATTACGACAATGCCAAGCTGCAATGGCTAAACAGCAGAAAGAAAGAAGAAAACAAATGGAAATGAACAAGGAAAAAGAAAGGCGCCAAAGTTAACAGACTGCAACATTGAATGGCTCAACAGAACAGGGCCATGACAGCGACACCCAAACGCTTCATTAACATCTGCTAATCTTCCTTAACACAACATGTTCTTGTTTAAGATATAATTATGTAAAAACTTCCAAACTCTGGTTAAGCTCAAAACTTGTTTGCGTGGCTATTCTGGGTATGAATGGTTTCTCATTAGACCCTTTTAAGTAAAAGAAAAAAAGAATGGTTTGTTGACAAGAGTATGCAACTTGTTTGTGAAAATTCCAAAGTTGGTGATTTTATTTTCTTCCTTGAAAAATAAATTTTGAAATATCTGTTCCTGGGATTGACAGGTTAGGTTTGGCGTGAAATATTTGGCTGTTTACGAAGTTTGTTTGAACCCGTGCTACTTCCTTGACTTTGCTTGAAACTGACACAGCTTTTGATAAACAAGTGAATGCATGGCTGATACTTCAGTTTTTTTCGGGTGTTTTTGGTTCTTTGTCCTAGCGTGTGGCCAAAATAAAGTTTTGAGGGTACAATTTCTAAATAAAAAATAATAACAAACGAACTGAAATGGGTTTTTGGTTGGCTTGAGTGTGGTTGAACTTGGTGAAATGGGAAATGCAAGTGAAACTCCATAAGCTGAATTTGGTTCAAGTTACTTTGACAAGCTTTGTTCTACTTTGGGGAGCATTTTCTTTCAAGGGGTTTTTGGCATTGGAATTTCTTCATTTTGAAGCCATATTTATTCTGAAGTTGGTATTTATGAATAGTTTAAAACTCTCAAGTACTCTCTCCATCTGGCATTTTCTGATCCAAATTTGTCTTCATCTACCTTTTGAGGAGTTTTAAGAAGAAAGAGATGCTGGTTTAGCTAGATTCTGTTCAACAGGGCACCGCCAGTTGAGCTGGATTCTGTTCAATCTTCTCTCCCAAGAGGTATGAATGGTTCATAAAACACTACATCAAACTTGGAACAGAGTTCGTTTGAAGTTTTCACTGCTGAATATCTCTATGTAAAATATAATTTATGCTAAACTTCAAAACCCACTTCTTTTTTTTCTGTATCTGTTTTAGTTTATTTTATTTTCCCAATGTTATGACTATGGTAATGTTTGCAGAGCATCCTCCGTCTGAGCTTTACAACTATTTTGAATTGATGGTATCCTTGCAAGTGATGCTCATTTTCTAGCCCTTGAATTTTCAGTGCTTTTCCCTTAATGTTGGTTCGATATATGCTTCCGATGGCTAAAGGATTCAAGCATCAGGCATTCATATTTCTTGGTGTAGTTTTACTCTTAATCAATCAATCAGAGCAACTACAATCCTCCCAGACTCGTATCCTCTTAAGACTTCAGCTGCTTCTGAATTATCCTGATGTTTTAAGTAGCTGGAATAGCTCTGTTGACTTTTGCAATGCCGAACCTACGTCTCAAGTAACCGTTGTGTGCTATGAAGAAAGCATAACTCAGTTGCATATAACTGGAAATAAAGGGACCCTTTCGTTACCTAGAAGCTTTTCCATGGACTCCTTTGTCACAACACTTGTTAAGCTTCCTGATTTGAGAGTCCTCACATTGGTCTCTCTTGGTTTATGGGGCCGTTGCCTGGTAAATTTGCCCTTTTGTCGTCTTTAGAGATACTTAATATGACTTCAAATTTACTATATGGAACCATCCCTCATGAGTTTTCGTCTGTAACCGGCCTTCAGACACTCATACTTGGTGAGAACATGTTCTCCGGTCAGTTGCCTGATTGGCTAGGCTCGTTTCCGGTTTTGACTGTTCTGAGCTTGAGGAATAATTCGTTTAATGGATCTTTGCCCAGTTCTTTTAGCATGTTGGAAAACCTTAGAGTTCTTGCACTTTCACATAATCACTTCCAAGGAGAATTGCCTGATCTTAGCGGCTTGACAAATCTTCAAGAGCTTGATCTCGAAGATAATGCCTTTGGACCTCGATTTCCTCAGCTAGGCAACAAGTTGGTCCTCCTTGTATTGGGAAAGAACATGTTTAGATCCGGCTTTCCTCCTGAACTAAGTTCGTTTTACCAACTTCAATGGACATGCTGAACGATCACTTGCACGGCCACAACGCATATCAGCCGCGATAGAGATTGTAAAAGGCATCCAATTTTTGCACACGGGGATCGTGTGTGGTGTGTGTGTGGTGTGTACTCAAATAATCTGAAAATAACCGATGTTTTGATGGACCAGAATCTTGTAGCCAAGATTAGCAGTTACAACCTGCCCTTATTAGCAGAGAGTGCTGGAAAGGTATGAACAATAAAGGACATTGTTTTCATTTTTTTCCAATGTAACATATATTTTCACTCTGTATGGACTTTTTGCATCCTTGAAATCGATGGCTTGGGATAATATTATCACTACTTGTTCTCGCAGGTAGGTCACAGAACTTCTGCTCTAACCAAGGATTCGAGTAATAGTTCAAGGTTCGTAATGACATCCTTTATGATACTGAACTTATACGGTAATGGACAGACATTGTTCAACTAAGATGTTTTGATGCTTATGTTCCAATTTCTCATTTTTGAAAGTATCCTTGTGGGATGCATATCAAACATGGGTATCAGTATGACCCTCCAAAGGAGCCCCCAAAATACATATTCATGTCGGACTTACACTCTTTTCTGACATTCACATCTGAGTCTGAGTAATAATACATAAACAGCCTGTCAGATTCTAATAAACAAGAGTCGTAATTGTATTTTTTTCCTTATATGATTTATTTAAAGGTGAAATTCATGCAAAGAAAATCCATAGCGTAACCTGCAAAAAAAATTTCAATACATATCATGGATTCAAAGCATTACTTGTTTGAAATCTTTTTAAAATTGATATTACATGGAACACCTATCCGTATCCGAGTCCGGGAAACATAGGATGATCCAAAGCATGATGTTCAGCTAAACTGTTGCCTTTGGTTTTGGAATTTAGACATTGGATTAACACTGATTGATCCTTCCTACCAAGCAAAGCCTCGGAGAATTTATTTTTCTGCCATGAAGGGACTTGTCCCTCTTCTCCTCATGTGATGGTAAATGTATAGTTACTTGACAATGTTGTAAATTTCTATACCGAATTATCTATGCTTCTTTTCCCTGTGTTTGCTTTGATTTACACTTAATATCCGTCATATTCGTATCGAAACCGATCTCAACAATTTCAGGTGAATAAATATGTATCTGAGTTATGTATTTGCAAATTATTCGAATTTAAATTAAATTCAGTTTAACCATTTTCTAATCGAATTCGAGTAGCTCGAGTTATACAATGAGTCACCCATCGATAACATTTTCTGGTGTTTAGCACTCGAATTCGAATGACATAATACCACATTAGCTAGATGGCTTATGCAATAAAAAGTGGAGACCAGAAATGGATATTTTTAAGAGGAAGTATATATTAATATTTTAAATATAATAATTAACGACATTTATTATTTGAACTAACAGATTAAATTATAAGTATAACAGCTCAACTTATGCTAGTAAAATATAAAAATTAAAGAAATCGTTGTTGTTCATAAAGGTTACGGGTTCGAGCACCAACGGCATAGCATGATGATTGAGGGTTCATTGTCAAATGATTAAGAGTATTTAAAATAGATACTATTTTGTAATCACCTTAGTTTAATATATATATATAACTTGAACATAGTAGAAGGACCAAACTAAAATTTGACCAATATGTAAACACACTTATAATTTGTCCAAAATGTAAATGCAAATTTACGCGACGCGTAAGTGACTCGTAGAGCCGTATATATATATAGGCTTGAAGAACTCGCGCTTAGCTTCTAAGTTTTATTTTCTTGTTATTTCCCCCCTTTTTTCACTCAAAATCAGAGCCAAGGACAACGACTGAGAGAGAGGCGGAACACTGCCAGCGACACGAAGATGCCCATCTCTTCTTCTTCCTCATCGATTCTGTTGTTTTTGTTATCTTTGTTCTTCCTCTCACATGCTTCTCACGTGATCTCCAACTTCAAAGGTATGCCTTTCTTTGCATTCCCCTTTTCCTCTGTTCCTGTTGGGGTTAACTTTCAACTTTGTTTTTGGATTTAGGGTATTGGATTTTTGTATGGTCACTGGTAAAAAAACGAGTTGTTTGTTTTTGATTATCTGATTCCCGATGCTCCGAGTTGTTTGTTTCCCCAGAAACATGAAGTTAAATCGACCAAGGGTTTAGGGTTTTTGAAAAATTACACCCTTCACACTATTCTTTGGCTTATTGAGAAAAGTGAACCTAAGATTTATGTTTAGAAATACTTTTTGTCTTATTGGATTCAGATTATATTCTGTTAGTATTTGGGTTTTTTCAATGTGAAAAAAATGGGGTTGTTTTGCTATATACAAACTATTATTATTTTTGTTGGCTTTCAATTCAAAAATGTTGGTAAAAATATCAGAATACATCCTAGAGGCTACAGACAGCTTTAATTAATAGTCTCTCATTTCATTTATTAAGATATGATGTGCCATATGGGGGATACTATTTATTGCTTGGAGTATTTGTAGCTCTTGGATGATTTTAGTGCCAAATAAATGCATGACTTAAACGATGAGGTGATATGATAATTTTGAAACTGAGCTCTATCAATGTGTCATTTAGTGTTACCTTATAGAAAGTATATTATGCAATTTGTAAATCCTGGTTGGAGGTGGAATTATGTCTGTAACTTGACTAGAATTTATAATGGTGACTTTGCTCCATGTTTTTTTGTTCTCTCTTGCACTCATGCCGTGGTTTTTTCTGGTGGTGTATTCAACTAATGTGCGTTTGAAATGGGCAGGTATAGATTTGGGAAGTCCAGCAATAGATGTCACGCCAGCTCCTCTTTCCAGGCATTCATCTGTTCGTGGTTTCAAAGATTTTTTGTTATGTGATCGAGTTCGAATTTCTGGTCTCTCAAGATTGAAGCTTGGGAGTTATGCCAGTACTTTTCGGGTTACTCTGGCTCCATCTGTCTTGATACCAGAGAGATCACACAACAAAATACAAATTTGTTTTCATAGGTAAGTCTGACTCTCAATCTATTATTGTGTGGACTTCATGCCACACCTATAGAAAAAACCCATACGCAATGCATGATCACACTTCAAAATGTTGTTGTAACTTTCTGGTGCTGACTGATAAACTATTGTAGGAATGCTTCACTGGGATTATGCAAGTGTAAGGATGGTGATTGGAAGGCATTGCAAAAGGGAACATGGCACACTGTCATGTCCCCTTATGATGATAGATATATTGACGTGAAGTTTATTGGTGATGTGTCTGGCTCTATCACAGTTTCTGTTAAAGAAGGTATTGTTATTTGCCTCTATATTTAAAAGAAAATATATTTCTTTATATTGGTGATGTTGATAATTGGTTAGGTTTAACCTTGATTTATTACCCCTTTTGCAGATTTTCAGCGATGGCGGCTTATGTTTCTAGCTTTAGGATTTGTTTTGTTGTTGTTGGCACCATTTATCAGCAAGTGGGTTCCTTTTTACTACAGCAGTTCAATGGCTATTGGCGTTTTTCTTGTCATTATAATCCTTCTGTTTCAGGTAAGTTGCTTTTCATTCGTAAATATTTCTCTTTTAAACAAAACCTTCTTACGTTTGCTTATTTTTCCCAATTCCAAATGCTATTGTTTATATTAGAAATTAAGTTATTGATTTCCAGAAATATACATTTAATTTATCCAATGCCCGACAGCCTGAGATACCGTCTTAGCTTCTGCTTTTCACTTTGTTTTCTCCAAGCAGGGAATGAAATTGTTGCCAACAGGAAGGAAAAGTGCTTTCTATATAACTATATATGGATCAGTGGTGAGTGTTTCTTTTCATTTACTTACTGATTAAATAATGTTTTATTTAGGCTGTGCTGCCAATAAACTTATTGTTTCATAAAAAAATTTCAGTTGGGAGCAGGGTCTTTTCTTTTACATCAATTCTCTGTGCTCGTAAATTCAATTCTTGTCAATTTTGGGCTGAGCGAAGAGATGCATAGTCCGGTAAGTCCTCAACTTCTCATCGATTTTCCATCCTTTCCCCTCATTGGAGATTATTTTTTTCATTGTATGGTATTTATCATGGTTCCCTTTTCTTCATTGTTCTTTGAAAGAGAAGCATATTGGTTTATGATTTACATAACATGATTATTATTCTATAAGAATTTGTTTGTAGTTACTGTCTTCCCTTTTCTTAAGAACGATGATGTTATTTCAAAGTTAATCAAGTTTTTTTTTCTCCCTGTTACAGGTTGCTATATTTGTATTGGTCGGAATTGTCCTCTCAGGAGCTGCGTTGGGGTACTGGATTGTAAGAAAATTCGTGATAAAAGATGGAAGCGTTGATGTTGGTGTTTCCCAGTTTGTAAAATGGGCCATGCGTATCATTTCAGCTACCTTCATTTTCTGGGTATGCTTCTACCACTAATAGAGTATATTTTTGAAAAAGAAAATGTAGTTGCATATGGAATAGGGTATGACTTTCCGATGATCCTTCATGATTTCTATATTGGATGTATTAATACCACGTTTCATTTTCCTTGTGTTGCACTCCTCTTCTACTCTCTCCAGAGCACTCTTGATACTCTGTTGGCGATGGTGGCATTGGCTTCTTGCTTGGCTATCTGTTCTCTGATCACATCAACAAGAAGGAATGGTCACGAGTAAGTTAAACACTGCTATCTTCAAAATTTCACGTTTAGGTTCCACATATTTGCCAGAAGAAAATGTCTGTTGTTAACGCCATGCGATCTCATGTTTAAAGTTTGGTTCATTTCAATGAAGTCTGTTAACAAATGTACTCAAGACTGCCCGAGTTTTCATTCACAGTTTTGATTTATTTGAACCATGTTTTTTGTTTATGCAGGCAACAACAGTATTTCGAAAACCAGAGTCCTTGGCTACACCGGTCGAGGCAGAGACCACTCATGCAAGGTCGTGCTGAATTTTTAAGCCGGTCGCCAAGAACATACCCTAATCAGAAGATGTGGAATGGTTCGAAGACTGCACCAGCATGGACCAACTCTCCGGTTTATACTCAACTTGCTGAAGGTGCTATAGATCATCAAGATTACTATTCAACCTTTCACAAGACACACAACCGGAAGAAATTCACCAAGCAAGAATGGGAAGATTTCAGTCGAGAATCCACCCGGGAAGCCATGGCGGAGTTGGTAGCGTCTCCAGAATTCACGGATTGGATGATTGAGCATGCTGAGAGGATAAAACTCCTTCCATGTGATGATAGTTCAGATGAATCAGTGGGAAGTGAATCAAGTTCGGACAATGAAGATGAAGAACGCTTCAGCCCCTTCAGATTATTTGGCTTGTAGGAACTCAGTAGAATAGCTAACCAAGTAGTATATTTTTGACGCAGGTATGGATGTATGATCCCTCCCAATGTAGGAAAATTAGCCCTTAGGTTTAGGATCCATCTTATACAGTTCGTTTGTACTAGTAAATTGATTGCCTTGTGTGAATTTTCAGAAAAGAAATTCTAGCCATTTGAATGTGCTAACAAAAATATATTGTTTTATTATTTTTTTCAACCTGGAAAACGGATTGTTTTATTATATTTTCCATAATTTCAAATAAAAATATATTGTTGCTCATTTATAATTATGCATAACGTACAAATCTTAACTGGTATAATAAATTTAGTCTTTAACAAATTAAACAATAACCATGTAAAATAATATCCCAATTGGTTTTTTGTTTTAAAATTCATTATTAATTGAGGTTTTGAAATTTAATCATAAAGCTTATAAATAATCATTTAGTTCATGGTCCAAAATATTATATTATTCAAAAATTTATTTATTATTATCTAATTTGACATAAATTAATTTATTATATAAGTCATAAAGAAAAACTAACATTAAATACATAAAGACTTGTTGCTGCTTCTGCTGATCGACTTGCTGTCATGAGCCGTGGAGCACCGATCGGAACTACCGTCTACTCAGAGCCGCCGATGGAGCTGCTTCAAGTTCTACAGAAAGTCTTGCTGGAATCCTCTAGCTAAGTTCCAGTTCTCTATATAGAAAAAAATACATAAATTTTATTTGTTTGGAATGCTTCTCCAAACGAGTTTTTCTAACGCAAAAGCACTGTTCTTCTATATTATTGATTAGAGTCAATAATCACTTTTTAAACGTAAAATTTTAAATAGAAATGAATTGTTTAAGAATGTTTTGAGTTTCAAACATAATTTTGGACCAAATACACTCCCGTAAATATTCCCAAACAGCCCCGTAAACTCCGTTCTTAAATTTTTTATTAACCAGTTAAAAGATTAAAAATATTTATTACATTACTTTTAATATTTTTACTAACACGTGACCTCCGTTATAAATAAATTGTTGCTATAAAGAAATTTTTTATCAATTGAAATATTATACAACGGGGTAATATTTTTATATATCAAATAATTTTCCTTAACTAGTTTTTGGTGGAGAGTAATTTTTATTTTTTAAAGAATAAAATTGTTTAAAAACGATCAGATTAATTGTTAATAAAATTGTAAACTTCTTTTAATAGTGATTTTTTTTATATATTTATGAAATTAATTCAAGAAAAAAGGTCAACCATTCCTAGAATCAAGCTATTTGTCGATTATTTAGCGTACGGACCTACAAAAGGCCAAATCATTTCATTTTGTCAAAACAAAAACCTACTGAAAAGATCAACGAAGAGAGAAAAATATAAAAGTTTTCTCTCTTCTCAAATCTGCCTGCTTAGATACCCTTCTAATATCCAACGTAAAAACAATGGTTTATTGAACCAAATTTTGTTCATTGAAAAGGGTTCAGGAGGCAGATATTTCTTTTCTTCTAATATGTTGTACATAGATATTAAGTTTTTTTAATGAAAAAGCTAAAAATTTTGAATTGCCGTTGATTCAATATTTTATCTTTAATTATTTGGGATATTTGATAAAATTTGGGGGAATCTGCAATGGGTGTTTCGGTTGGTTCCCAGATAGAATGTTTCGGTTCTCCATGGGGTGGTTTAAGGAATTTGATGAGAAGAAAACAGGTAGATTCTGCCCATTCCAAGCCTTTGGATCGTCATAATTTGGCTAAAGCGCTGACCGTTTCTCATCTCATAGCAGTTGGTAATATTTTACTTCTTGATTTCTTTTTAGTTTATTGGAGAATAAAAAGTTAACCCCGATTTGTATTGTTTTTCCTTGACGAAATTTGATATTGGATCTACGTTTGGTTTCATGTTTTAGCTTTTTTGGGGGGATTCGATCCTGGATTTGTGTGTTTTTTTAAATATGTTTTTAACTCTTTGTTTAAATTTTGTTTTGCTTCTTCGAGGGGAATTTTTATCTTCGTTTTGTGTTCCCTGTTTCTTGATCCTATACCAATATAAATATATGATTATTTCTATAATTTTAGCAATTTTTGAGGAAGTTTTTATCTATTTTAGTGTTATATGTTGATTTTGCTGGTGTTTTTGAGAACTGAAGTTGAATGGTTGTAAATTACTTATCTTTGTTGCTTATTTCCCCTTGTGGATATTTTTTTATGCATTGGGTTATTCTTTTTTTTTTGAGTTATATTTGGTTTGATTTTACGGAGGGTGACATATGTTAGTCCGTGGTTATGGGCCTTTTTTTGGGTAGCTAAAATAAATAGCTATATTCTGACTTTTGGTGGAATGTGGTTAGGTGTTGGATCAACAATTGGAGCTGGAGTTTATATTCTTGTCGGAACAGTTGCTAGAGAGCATACGGGGCCAGCTCTCACCTTTTCCTTTCTAATTGCTGGAATTGCCGCCGCACTCTCCGCTTTTTGCTATGCCGAGCTTGCGAGTCGTTGCCCTTCTGCTGGCAGTGCCTATCATTATTCATACATTTGTGTTGGCGAAGGGTAATTTCCATGTTTTCTTGATTTATCTTGTACATTTCTTATAGTGATGTTCTTTGTTCTTGCAACTCGAGAAGCTGATAGTTTTTTTTTTTGAAAAGTAAGAGTTTTATTAATGTAGGAAGATACACACATTGTTAGGGGCCTTGTTAAAAGAAGCCAATAGTTATTAGTCGATTGTTTCATTTGGTAATAGAATAATCAGGGGCTTTGAATGTACAGCCCTTTCTCTTTCTCTAAGATTTCTATGTTGCTTAGCCACTGATTCATTTTGTAGTGTTGCCTGGTTGGTTGGTTGGGCTCTGATATTGGAGTATACAATTGGTGGATCTGCTGTTGCTCGTGGCGTTTCGCCTAATCTGGTTTAGCAATCTTCCTTATGTTTCTTTTCCATTTCTTTGGTTGGATTTGTTTGGATCAAAGGAGCAGGGAGCTGCCTTCTTTTGCTTTCTATTTACATTACCCCCTTTTTTGCATCAAGGCTTTGCTTTTTGGAGGTGAAGATTGTCTACCATCTTTTCTAGCTCGTCAACATTTTCCCGGACTTTATATTATGGTGGATCCATGTGCTGCAGTTCTAACTCTCGTTGTGACTTTGCTCTTGTGCTGTGGAATCAAGGAGGTGCATTCTATCTCCTTCTATTTTCAGTTCATTTTCCATGTGTATGGCTGATACTCCTCACTCTTTGCACCTTCAAATTAAATCATGTCGACATGTCTCGTGCAGAGTGCATTGGCACAAGGCATTGCCACGGCTGGAAATGTATTTGCGATGCTTTTCGTCATAATAGCTGGTGGCTACTTGGGTTTCAAGACTGGATGGACCGGATATGAACTTCCTAATGGTTATTTTCCCTTTGGGGTGGATGGAATGCTCGCCGGGTCTGCAACAGTCTTCTTTGCTTATATTGGTTTTGACACAGTTGCTAGCACTGCGGAGGAGGTATATAGTTTCTTTTCTTCTGACTGTTTGCCCTTTATTTAAATCAATCTTTTCTGGTGATCTAAGGAACTTGAAACCATGCACGACAGGCGAAGAATCCCAAACGAGATTTGCCATTGGGTATCGCATTATCCCTCGCCATTTGTTGTGGGTTGTACATGCTGGTTTCTGTTGTGATTGTCGGTCTGGTCCCCTATTATGCAATGGATCCTGACACCCCCATCTCTTCTGCATTTGCTGACAATGGGATGCAATGGGCCGCGTGAGTTTTCTCAGTGCATCCAAAGTGTTTATACTTTTTATAAACCTTTACACTCAAGGGACCCTATTATTTCAGTTATATCATAACCGTTGGAGCTGTTACTTCCCTTATCTCTACATTGATGGGCTCAATTCTCCCTCAGGTGCAAACTCTTGAGATCGATTAGCATTTCGATTCAATTATGACTTCTTAGTGCTGATATAAACTCGTTGATTATGCGGTTGTGTATATATGTTAACATAGTGACATTTAACATATTCTTAATTATTTCTTTTGAAGATTCACTAGTGTGTTGTTAGAACTTCAACCTACTCGTCATCTTAATCTGTAGAATAGCAATTTAATCTACATGATTGAGTATAGATATTGATATTTTATTTATATATGTTGATTTACTTAATTGCGTGTTTTCAGCCTCGAATTCTAATGGCAATGGCTAGAGATGGATTGCTTCCACCCTTTTTTCTGATGTTAACAAAAAAACCCAAGTTCCTGTCAATAGCACGCTGGCAACTGGTATAGTTGCTGCTATCTTGGCATTCTTCATGGATGTTTCACAATTGGCAGGGATGGTAAGTTCATCACAAAATTTGATGCTACGTTGTATATATGTACCAGGCACCTCTGGCTCGAGCTTTACTTTTATTAAAAGTACCTTGAATGCATTTGAATGACCTAAGACTAGCCTTTCTTTTGCAGGTTAGTGTGGGTACCCTTGTTGCATTTACGATGGTAGCAGTTTCTTTGCTGATACTTAGATATGTCCCACCTTATGAGGTGCCAATTCCGTCATCACTTCAGGATTCGATTGAGTCTTACATGCTAGGACGTGATAGGGATGCTCAGGCGATTAGTGGAGAAGACCTGGAGAGGAGTTCTTCCGGAGATACTTGTCGGCCTTTGCTTGGAGACAAGAATGTTGCAGTTGATGTTCCCATTGTTGAAAAACTAGAAGCTCTATCCTGTAGTAAGTTCCCTGCTTTTTCTGTGCAATTCGAGGGGTCATGGAGAGCCATATCTTTATACTCGTGTCTGAACATGTATCGGACAGGAGTACCTGAAAAACTAAGAGTATGAGCAATGTAGATTGTTTGTTCCTGGAGATTGGTTCTCATCTTGTAATTGTTATTGCAGGTACCCTCAATGAAGAGAACCGAAGGAAAATTGCTGGCTGGACCATAGTTTTAGTATGTGTAGCGGCATTTATACTTACATTTGCAGCTTCAAATCTGTGGCTTTCAAGGTAGGCTGATCAAGAAAGCATTAATGAACTACATCTATTATAAAAATAAACAACAAAAAAATCAATGATAAATGGAGGGCTGAAGTAATATATCAATCTTCCCAATCATTAAGCTCTTCACCATTATCATAAATTAGGCAAAGGGGATGGGAAAATTCTTGATACTTCATATGGTTGAATCTCTCTCTTGAATGTTTTTTTATCTTTCAAATGAATCTGATTATTTATTTTCTCATTTGATTCGATTGTCGTTGGCATCTTCCTCTAGCCTTCTTCGGTTCACGATGTGTGGTGCCAGCGGTATTCTTCTTCTTGGTGGCTTGATTATTCTCACCTGCATTGATCAAGACAATGAAAGGCATAACTTTGGACATTCAGGAGGTATGCTACAGCACTCATAATTCAGTTTGTTGTTTCTCTCCATCCCATTTCGACTATCTTTTATGATTTCATCTATTTATGCATGCTTGAATTTGACCCGATATCGATAATACGTATATGTATACGTATGTATGAATGTATTTCAGGTTTCATATGCCCTTTTGTTCCTCTGCTGCCAATTGCCAGCATTCTGATCAATATCTACCTGCTCATTAATTTGGGGTAAGCATTAACCAAGACTACTCTTTTTCTCTCATTTTCACATTGGCATTCTTGTCATACTATGCTGTTTGAAACTGTCAGGGTTGCAACCTGGTTTCGGGTTTCGGTTTGGACGATGGTAGGGGTTCTGATTTATGTATTCTACGGTCGTAGACACAGTTTGCTGCTAAATGCGATCTACGTGCCGAAAGCACACGTGGATGAAATCTATCGCTCCTCCGGGGAGTGTACATAGTGTAATCGAACCCCTTGTATGAAAAAGGGAAACAAAATGAAGACCACATTTTGCAGTACTAATGTTTGTTGGTCATAGTTCTGGAAAAGAATCTCATTGTTAACTTTGTAAATTTATTCATACAGGATATGGCCTTAAGCTTGTTTGTATATCTATACATATTTCCTTGGGATGAGAGGATTCTGTTGCAAAATGTAAAGCATTATTAGAAATGTGAATTGCAGATTTCCATCTTTCTTCAATTAAAAATTACTCCAAATTAAACATAAAAATAACATTATGAATCTATTGATATATTGAAAGTGCATAAAGGATACTCTTAACACTGGATCAAAATCCAGTAAAATACTGCATTTAATGACTACATATGGTTTTTAAATAGTAAATTCTAATATTTATATTTGAATAGGAAAAAACTTTTAAAAAATTGGACATATCAGTATGAAATATATACATGCACCTAGCATTTCGCTATCGACGTAGGGTAAGGCTATTAGGTACAATGTTAGAGAGCTTGAATGAGCCTCAAGGACATGGAAGTGAAGTAGATAAAGAAAAGTCCTCCTCCAAGGACCCCATCGAGCTTCATATCTCTCATCGGTAGGACCAAGAGTGCCCAAACCAAGGCAGCCACAAGGAATCCCATTGTTTGAAGGAGATGAGGGTCTTTGGGGATCTGAACAGGTGTAGGGTACCCATGCCAGGCTGCCCCAATCAAAGACACCCCTAATCCAAATAGAGTGTTGAAGATTGGACCTGCATAGCAACCTGATATAGCAACTTGAACCCCTTCTGGACCACCATTCAATGCCATGGACAAGTTGGTGACCAGGTCTCCAAGTGAGTTGCCCCATGCAAGGACCGTGAACCCGAGGATCGATTGACTGATTCCGAGTATGTAGCCGGTTGAAATCAATAGGGCAACCAATTCTTGAGCAATGATGTAACTCCAAACCACGCTCATCACAAACCCTCCGGCTAGCCACGGGAACAAGCACGTCTTCGGCGGGCTAGATTTTTCGGTTTTCAAATACACGAGAACCCCGAAGCTAGTTCCGACCAGGATCCCGATTACGTAGACCACCAAGCCGGTTTCGAAGGTTAGATCGTCGTCTTGAAGATCCCAGAGTACGGATAAGAGAATTGGTGCCAAGGTCACCGAAGCAACCGCAACTGGTTTAGACCATCTTTCTTGACAAACAATTGGGATTGTCAATCTCCTAGGTAAATAAAGAGGCATCTCAAGTATCCAAAGTAACATACTACATGTATCTGATATTCTTAAACACAAACAACATCTCCTGAATCCATCTCCTTTCTCATCTTCCAAATCCCCTGCCTCTAAATTATCGATCTCCGTTTTCCCAATTCCGTTCAAAATCGGTATGCTCAAATCGCTGTTACAGCTCGAATAGGAATCAATGTTGCCCGTTTGACCAGAATTCCAGACAATATACATGATGTACACAAGGATAACATAAACAATATACATTGAACAAAAGGCCATCGCTGCCCATACACTGACTTCTCCGATACTCAGTATCAAAATTAAGGATGCAAGAACCAATAGGAGGTAGCAAGCATCTCTTACGAAGGCCGGTTTGTTAACCGGAACTCGTTTCCGGTGCACGAAAGTTCCGATGGTCCCGACGACGACACAAGTCACAAAGAAAACACCACCGAGAACTGTGTTTATCCCAACATCCTGTGTTCCGCTGTCCATGAAAGACACTATGCTAGAAAAGACATCAGGGGCACCATTGCCAAGGGACAAGAGTGTAACACCAGCAAGTGTAGGGGACAATTTTAAAAGGCTAGACAAGCTTTCAAGAGAATAACAAAAGTATTCGGAGGCAGTGTTTCCCAAAAGATAAAACAAGACAACAAGCCAAACAAGAAGAAGGAAATGACCCAACAAGGGAAATTGTCCGAAATTGCAATAAAAAAGGTGAAGATAATCGATATAGCCTTGATAAACACAAGGATCACTGGCTTTGAGATAAGAACACTTGGCTTCATAATCATCTGAATTCCCCAGACTCTTACAATCCAGCTGACTATTGTCGAATTTAGAAGTACCATATCTGCTTAAAACAACAGATTCTGAAGAACTGAAACGAATCGCAAGAAAAACAGACGCCGCCAAGAGAAATGAAACGTTCAAGAAAACGACGACGGACCTCTTGGTTTGGTATTTGAAAACCCAAGTACCCATACCAGAAACTCAAACCAAAAGCACGATAAAAGTGAGAGAAAAAAGACTGAACTAAACCATGATTAAGGAACCCAACATGAGAACTAAAACTAACCTTCGTGAGGAAATTGTTTCTGGGTTTTCTTTATCTGCAAGGGAGGAACGGTAGCTTGGGTTTGGAGAGGTGTAAAAGAAGAGGAAATGTGGTTTTCTACGTAGGATATGGAACATAACTGGGTTAAGGAAATTATCGAAAAAGATTCCATAATTAAAAGCTCAGTTTGTGTTCAAGGTTGCACCAATACCAGCAAAGATATTCGAAATTTGATTCTGAGATAAGGCAAAATCATAGATCGGAGACAAGTGGCGCTCGGTTTTGGGCTATGGTTGTCTCTTGCACACATAATGCTGGGGTTTGATACTTTGTAGAAGAAAAAACGAATATGTAATAATACTGTTTATCTGATAAGGTTGTCGGTCGGTATGATATTTTATATTACTATAACTATGTTCAGAATATTCTATAATTTTAATAAATTTTTAGAAAAATCATGTACCATAAAAAATAGATTGTTTAATTAAAATATAGGGTAAATAACTCCTTTAGTGCATAAACTATCAGTTTGGATCAGTTTAGTATCTAAACTTTAGTTTTTTTCAAAATCATACCTAACGTTTAGTTTTTATTTTCTTTTAGTACCAACTGTTAAAAACTTAACTCATTTAATACATAAACTATCAGTTTTTATCCGTTTCAGTACCAAAACTTTCAATGTTTTCGAAATTTAACGTTAAATTTTGAATGATTACTAAAATGAAACAAAAACTAAAGTTTTTCACAACGAAGTACTAAAATGTAAAAGAAACTAAAGTTGAGGTATGATTTAAAAAAAATAAATGTTTAGGTACTAAAATTGATCAAAACTGATAGTTTAGATATTAAACTTATAATTTATCTGAAATATTATTATAATATTTAGTAGTTAAATAAAATAAAATAAACATCTAATTTGATTAATATAATAATATCTTTAATCACCCTAGATTAATAAAAATAAGTCAATAATTTATTAAACAGATCAATGAAAGCATCGGTTATATTTATTAAATTATTTTCAATTAAGATCAAATTAATAAAATGTATAAATTTTAAAAAATATTATTATATTATATCGCATCATTACTTTATCTCATTTTTAACTATTAATGATAAGTTCATGATATTATTTTAATCGAATGATATATTTTTAATTGTTTAAAATAAAGTAATCATTTTATTATCAAGTATATAATTGAGTGACCTAGAATGTATTTTACCCTCAATTTTTTTAACCTGATTTACCAATTTGGGATAATGGCAACACAGCGTGGAAAATAAGCAAAAGAGAGTGAATGGGACCGAATTTCATAAATTATGGGGACTATGTCCTGACCCGACAACCAAAAGAATACACGTGAATATGATCAGGTGTGTAAACGAGTCGAATCGAGTTTGGGTATTGTTGAGTTCGACTCGATTCGAAAACTCTAAAATGGAGCTCGACTCGACTCGAAAACTCGTGAGTTTAAAATTTTCAAGCTCGACTCGAAATCCTGAACTGATAGTTTAAAACTTAACTCGATTGAAGCCTCAAACTCAAACTCAAACATGAACCTTAAATACATGAAATCTTACTGTATTTTTTTAAAAAAAAAATCAATACATAAATATTAATACTATTATTAATTTATTTTTTCAAATAAAATTTTAATATATTATATTTTCGAGCTACTCACGAACTTTTCGAGTCGAATATCGAATAGCTCGTTTCAGCTCGTTAAGAACTCGAGTCGAGCTCGAGTCAAGTCCATTCGATCCGAGTATTTATCGAACCTTGATCGAGTCGATCTCGAATGGCTCACGATCTGTCTCGTCTCATTTAGTCCTAAATCTGACTAACAAAATACTTATCATGAACTTTAACAAATATAATAATCATCGCATCAAATTCGTTGATCTGACGGACACAAATCCAATCAGACCAGTTTAAAATAAGATTGGATACACACGATTGAATTAGTCCAAATTTTCATCAATTTATTAATAAAATAGTATTTACCCAATCGATCCATTTGCTCAGTATATAACAAATCCAATATTTTAATCTTTATCATATTTAAAGTTACTTTTGCTGATAGTAATTTCAAATGTATGAGTCTTGCAGGAGTTAAACTGAATCGTCGGACATTGATATTTTAATAATTACCTAACATTGATCTTGATGACTAAGTTTAACATTTTTTAATGTTTTTTTCTTAAATATTTTTCTTAAAAGATTAAAATATTTAGAGTCTTGACAAACGGGTACAAGAAATAGTAATTTTGAAGAGGTAAACTATTATGTTAGTACATAAATTATTAATTTTGGTTTGGTTTAATATTAATATTTAAATTTTTATCTTTTTATAAAATCTTGCTTGACGTTTAGGTTTTGTTTTGTTATAGTATCATGTTGTTAAAAATTTAACGGACGGGCTCTCCGGCAACCTTGTGTATAATCGTCGGTCGTCGCATTTGTCGGTCGGTGAAACCCAAACTTTCTAGCTTGTACTTTTTTTGAACTATTAAAAAGCGATTTTGGCATCCATTTCACCATAAAATGTCTCAATCACCCGAATCACTATTTGATTTCTTCATCCTTTGATCTCTAAGGTCCATCGTTCGGATTGATCACCCGTCGATTGGAGTTATATCACGGCAGCCTATCCGTTAAGTTTTAATGACAATGTACTAAAATGAAACAAAAACTAAATATTAAATATGATTTTAAAAATAACGAAAGTTAAGATAAAAGAAATAGTAATCACAAATTTTCTTCTGCACCCCGTGTTTTTTAAAAGGTGAACTATGGGGTTAGTACCTAAATTATTAATTTTGGGTTGATTTAATATTAATTTTTTTTCTCAAAATCTTACTTAACGTTTAGGTTTTGTTTCATTTTAGTATCTTGTCGTTAAAATCTTAACGGACGGGCTCATTAGTCACAGTGTGTATAGTCGTCGATTGTCTCATTTGTCGGTCGGTGAAACCCAAACTTTCTAGCTTGCACAATTTTTTTACCTCTTGAAAAGTAATTTCGACCTCGTTTCACCAAAAAAATATCTCAATCTACCTAAATCAATGATGTACTCTTCGATTTCTTCATCCTTTGATCTCCAAGGTTAACTGTTCAGATTGGTCGTCCGTCAACTGAAGCTATGCCACGATAGCCTATCCGTTAAGTTTTTAATGACGGTGTACTAAAATGAAACAAAAACTAAATGTTTGGTATGATTTTAAAATCAACGAAAGTTAAGATACTAAAATAAATCAAAACTGATAGTTAATGTATTAAACGCATAGTTTACCCTTTAAATTAAACTAATACTTATATTTATTAAATTTTATATATTTAGAATAACATCAAATAAATATTTAACGCTTGAAAATATGTATCAAATTATAAAAAAACATAAATTTTTAATATCAAATTTATTAAAAATGAAAAAAAACACATTTATAAAAAATGACAAATTCAACTATCAAATGATATGATAAACATTTCATAATTTTATTCATTTTTCACTTATAAATTTCACACATTATTATTTTATAATATTTTTTTATAAATACTAAATAATAAACCTTTATTACAAAATCTTAAATATTAAGGTAAAAAAATGAAAATATATTGTTCTAGTCCCTGGATTCTTGAGGACACAAAAGAGAAAATATTAGTGGAAGGATTTGAATTCAATGGCTCTCGCTGTTCAGTATTTCACCTTTTGAATTCTTTTTTCTTTTATAAGATTAGGTGTTTGGTTGTCCATTCCGACGGGATATTTATGACTTTAGCTCTGTCCTAAAAATTTTGAGTTTACTTAAAGGGTAAAATAAACTTCAAGTCATTAAATTATTAATTTGATTAAAAATAAGTCATCATATTTTAAAACTTATAATTCAATTATTTAATTGAAATATTATTATAAACAAGTTACTAATTATTTATACATTCAATATCAATTTGGTTATAATTTAAAATATTTCAATAAATTCAACTTTCACGTTAAAAAATTCAATCAATATATTACAGTACTATCAAACACGTGAATTCAACATATCAAAATAGCAATTGGATAATTATATTAAGGACGGAGTCAGGATTTTAGTTCAATGACAAAATATAATTAACAATAAAATATGAGAATATAATTTAAAAGTTTAAATTGATAATTATTCATATTTTTTTAATGATAAAAAAAATTTGGGAACAGTGCCCCATGGCCTACATGGCCCCGTCACTGACTACATTCAACCATAAAAGTAATAACAAATGATTTTTTATGAGAACTTTCCATCAATAAATATTAGCCAATTTTATGCTTGATCGAGCTTCATTTGTAACCTTACAAAGTACTTGTTTTTAACAAAAATTTATGATTTAAATATGAGATTGATAAACGACCAGTATATCATGTGCTTAGAGGTTTGAAAGTAGTAGAAAAACACAAACGAGGGTGTATTTAAACAGAGATGAACACGTGATTTTATGTTATGGGATAAACTAAAACTTCAAAGAACGAAATCAGATTTTTAATAGAAAATACATAAAAAAATTATAAAATATATAACAATTTTAAATTTTCAAGGGAGGACTATTTTAACCCACCCAAATCAATTCAAGTGTATAAACACTTTCGACACTTGGTATAATTAAAATATTTCACACATTAATTAAGTATAATTTCGTAATTCAACACTAATTGAAATGATAATTCATTATAAAATTTTAAATTATTTTTATTATTTTTATTAATAAATAAAATTATACACAGTTAATTCGTCATATCCACTAAAATATCATATAAATCAAAAACAAAGGACGACCTCCAGCTTGTTTTATGAGAGAGAATGCGGAAGTAGCCAAGAATCATTATTATAAAAAATGCGCACAGGCTGAGAGGTAGGGTTTGGGCATAAACATAGAATATTCCACAATATCGGGTGTAAACTAGTCGAGTCGAGTTTGAGTATTGTTGATCTCGAATCGACTTGAAAACTCTGAAATGGAGCTCGACTCGAATTGAAAACTCGCAAGCTTAAAATTTTCAAGTTCGACTCGGACTCGAAATCCTGAGCTGAAGCTCGTGAGCAGCTTGAAATTGCTCGAAATGGAAAAAAAAATCTTAAACTTAACTCGATTGAAGCCTCAAACTAGAATTTGAACCTTAAATACATAATAATATTACTATATGTTTTTTTTAAATAATACATAAATATTAATATTATTAAGATTTTATTAAAAAATAAAATCTTAATATATTATATTTTTGAGCTAGTCACAAATTTTTCGAGTCGAATATTAAGTAGCTCGTTTCTGCTTGTT